AAGGGAGATAGGTCTGTAAATGGGATGGGAAAGATCAAAAGACCTGAACCATGCTCCAAATCATCCTGAGTGTGCAACAAAGAGTGAGTGACTATCTTCTACAAGAGCAGAGGAACTTTTCCTATCAAGAGCCATAGACTAAGAGAAAACAGACTAAGGCTTTATAAGAATCACGAGAGAAGTAATCTTATCTACTTCTAAAAACAGGCATTGTCAAAAGTAGTAACAGTTAGTCTCAAGAACAATATCAGAGCATCAGGAAGTCCTGTAGCTTTACCTGAGACAAGACTGACCATTTCTCATTGTTTCCATGGCCACAGTCACAGTCCTGAATGGCTGACTCTGCTTCCACTCTTCCCCTACTTCCAAAATCATTTTCTTTCGTTCGTTTGTTCTTTCTTTCCTCCTTTCTTTCTTCCTTTCTTCCTTTATTTTTAATGGAGGTAGTGGGGATTGAACCCAAGACTTCATGCATGAGCTCTACCACTGAGCTATATACCTCCACCCACCAAAATCATTTTCTACAGAGCAGTGAGAACTACCTGATTTTTAAATTTGGATTATGATATTATCATTGTGTTCTGATTTATACTTCTGTTTTTCTCCTTCTTTCTTGTCTTCTTTTGAATAATCAAGTTTTAGCCTTATTTTGTTACTTTTCCATATTACTTTTTTTATTGAAGTATAGTTGCTGTACAAGTTACTGTTGTACAACATAGCAATTCACAATTTTTAAAGGTTATACTCCATTTATATTATTACAAAATATGGCTATACCCCCATGTTGTACAATATGTCCTTGTAGCTTACTTTATACTTAATAGCTTATACCTCTTAATCCTCTACCCCTATGTTGCTGCTCCCCTCTTCCCTCTCCCCACTGGTAACCACTAGTTTGTTCTCTATATCTGAGTTTGCTTCTTTTTTGTTATATTCACTAGTTTGTTGTATTTCTTAGATTCCACATATAAGTGATATCATACAGTGTTTGTCTTTCTGTCAGACTTATTTCACTTAGCATAATATCCACCAAGTCAATCCATGTTGTTGCAAATTGCAAGATTTCATTCTTTTTTATGACTGAGTAGTATCCCATTATATATATTTATTTTGCTATTTTAATTCCTTTTTTTTTTCTCCTCTTGGTTTAGAAATAACACACTCTTAATTTTTTTTTTGTTACTTTGGTATCTACCCTTACAATTCATAATTATTAAAGCATAAATCCAATCAAATTTGACACTCAAAAACAATATGAGAAACTAAGACAGCTTTAATCATAATTCCTCTCCTGTTTTATGTGTTATTATTGTGTTTTTCACTGCCATTAAGCAGTCATTTTTAAAATACGGCAATTCTTTGTTTAGATTTAGATACATTTATCTCTTTGTTTACCTTACCATTCCCTCTCTTATCTTCATTCATTTTTCTTTGCTCAAAACCATCCTTTCTGTAGTAAATATTTTAAACAGTAACTTTATTTTTTAAAATTTGTATTTTATTTCTTTTGGTGGGGGGAGGAAATTAGGTTTACTTATTTATCTGTTGTTAGAGGAGGTACTGGGGATTGAACCCAGGACCTCATACATGCTAAGCATGCACTCTACCACTTGAACTATACCCTCCCCCCTTAAACAGTAATTTTAATTAGAATTTATTAGTGGTAAATTCCTTCAGGTTTTGGATCATTTGAAATATTTTACCCATTTTTAATTCTAGAATAATATTTTAGCTGAGTGTAGAAGTCTAGGTTGACAATTATTAACTCTCAGCTTATTAGACCCACACCACAACTGTGTTTGGAACTAAATAGAGACAAGACCACTCTGCAACAACAAAAATGTCCAAACATTCCCTCTTAACATGGGTAGTTGCTACTTTTTTTGTTATTTTAACCAATTTTGACTCCAATCCCTCTTTAATCTTTCTGCATCCTAGATAGAAATTTAGATACCCAATCATTGAAATACTCTTTCTTTTTGACAATATTCAATCCAAAATTGGCCCTTACTATTCTAAACTCTCGTTCAGAATCATCCAACAGAAGCCTCGTCTCTACAAAAGGCAAATTCTAATTTCCCCTACTGAAATGATCCCACAATTCCACTGCAGCACTCTCTCCCTTGCTGCAGCAATAAATCCAATTCTTTTTTACCTCGGAAATAGATGAGATTTGACAAGATATTGGTCAAATTTCTTAATAATCTCAAAGAGCCCACAGATGGCTTCCTTCTTTAAAGTTTTATTATGGGTATTCTCAAACACTTACAGAAAGAAAGAGACTTATATAATGAATTCCTGTATCTCCATAACCCAGTTTCAACAATTATCAATTCATGTTTCAATCTTATTTTATCATTACCTCCACCTGGTTCTCCTTCATCTTGTATTATTTGGAAGCAAACCCCAGCTATCGTATCTTTTCATCTGAAAATATTTCAAGATGTATCTCTAAAAGACAAGCACTTATTTTTTTTTAAATACCATTTATCACACCAACAACTTTAACAATAACTCCTTATAAATCATTAAGGATCCAGTAAATGTTCATCAACATTCAAGTTCCTCCAACTATCTCATAATTTCTTTTTTGTTTTCCTGAATTAGAATCCAACAGAGTTCATACTCTGCAACTGTTTGATGTCTCTTTAAATATATTTAGTCTATAGTTTCCCTCTCCATCTTTGCTTCTTCTTCTCCTTCTCCTTCTTCTCCTTCTTCTTTTTTATTTTTTTCCAATTTATTAATTGAAGAACCCAGGTCACTTGTTCTGAAGAGTATTCCCACAGTCTGGATTTGCACCTCTGAAGCATCACTTGATGCCTCCCACGTGTCTTGTAAATAAATAGTAAGTTCTAGACTAGTGGTTGATCAGACTCAGACTGAAGGGTTTTTTTGCAAGACTACTTCATAGGCGGAACTGGGTATTCACCTATGATCAGGAAGACACGTTTGTCTCTCCTTTTGTGATGGTAACAGCTGTTGTTGATCATTGCCTAGATACATTAATTCACTACGAGTTACAAAATGTTGATATTGTAATTATGCCATACCTTCTTCATTTATTTGCTGGAAAACTTCTATAAAGAGAAGATTTCCCCTCATCTTCAGTTCCCCCAGAAAAACTAGGATAAATGCTTGATTCTTTCCAGTTTCAAAATAATGAGTTGTTCTCCTATCATTCTCCAACAATGACCAATGAGGTTTTTATTTTTAAGTATCATTGTGAAATCACAGATTTAAGCATATCTGATATGTTTGGGTCTATTGCAGATAGCATCTATTTTGACACTCATATTGTCCCATCCTTGGCCAGTGGGAACTATTCTAGTTTCTTCTAAGCCTTTTGATACAATAGTCATAGTCTTTGAACACTTGCTTGTTTTGGACAATTCCTGTCCCATATCTGAAATCAGCCATTTCTCCAAGGAATTTTTTTAGTGCAAATGGTATTTAGATAACTCAAATTGGACACAAGGGTGTTCATTGCTACTGGCTTATTGTTTCTAGGCCTTTTCAGGATAAAGTTAGGGAATGTTTTCAGATAAAATACACCACGAGCTCTTTATAAACTCTAAGTATATGTTATATATAAAAGTGTAACTATGACTTATACTTCCAATTTAAATTCAGAATTATAGAGTTTTTACTTAATTTCATCCATCATAAATCTGTTATCTTTTTCTTCCACATCAAAAATCCTGTTTCATAAAGACTCATTTGTTTTATCCCACAATACCCCTACAATGCTTTCAGAATAACAATACCAACACTACCACCAACAATATGACCGCTTTAAAATATTTTTGCACTCCTCTTTATTCTCAGACTATATCCCACTTGGGATGCCATGGTCAAATTGCTGTGTTTTAAAGTCACTTGGATAGTTTGGTTTGGGTCATTTTACATTTTTGTAATAAAAGCCCTTGTGATATGGCTTCAAGTGGTGGAGAGAAAAGCTAAATTTTTCAGATAATATGTGTAACAAAGAGAAGAGTACTGTGTAGGCCTCCGGATTCTGAATTAAATGTGGAGTCAGTTAATGCAGATAGATGCCTTAGGGACACCATTTGAAATCAGCCTTTGTGTCAATTTCACTTGGCAAGTACTAAGAGATGAGGATGTCTGATGCCTACGGCTGCAAAAACAGGACATCACTACCTTCCACTGTCTTGAAAGGTCACAAGATTATGTGACTCCACAAACGTACCTTTCTGAATCTCTTTTTTTCCCTCAGTTTATCTCCCTAAGTTCCTCTCCTCTATGGATTGATAACCTTCAAAAAATTCTATCCCCATCCCTGCTTCACCTCTTTGCCTCTGCTAACAGCTCCTCATTGGTACAGTGGTTAGTATCCCCGTCTGTCTCTTTGCCTTTGCTAGCCTCCTCCTCCAGCAGCTCAAGAGGTTATATTTTTGTGTGTATGTTTGGGAAGAGGAATTGCTACATAAATGAAGGGAATGAAAATGGAGAAGGCAGGGGGACAGACAGCTGCAAGGATCTGAGCTGGTAGAGTGAAATAAACCCTCATCCTAAACAACTCAGAGCTCAGATTTCTTCTCTAGACAGCTGGCTTCTTTAGTCCTTCTGAAATACTCTGCAAAGAGTGGGGAGGGGCTGTGAAATACCTCTGCTATGGACCTTATTTTAAGTCAGCTACCTCCTAGATATGCTCTGTAGAAACTAAATACAGTATTCAATACAGCAGGGATGAGGGTGGTGAACAAAAGGCACACAACTGTGCACTCTAATTTTTAAAGGCCAGGAGGAGCTCATTATTGACAATGCTGGAGGGCTGCCTGGAGTAGGCAGTGACTAGAACTATATAAGCTTGAATTGGATATCTGATTTGCTTATCATATTTCTGCTCTACCTTCCCCACTTGGCACCCTATACTCCATATTCTTTCTAATCCTCCTACCCTCCCTACTCCCCCTACTCCCACACCCTACCCCCACCAACCTTCCTGGAATTTTGGACTTAGCTATTTTTAAAACAGTCAACTCAGTAGCCACCTCCCTCCCCTGCTCAGCTGTCCAGCACTCTGGCCAGCCATATACTCCCCCATCCCCCCACACCAGACCTTCTCTGGTTCCCTGACCTCAGTGAGATTGCAGCCGGTCCGGGGAACTGGGGGAGACATGAAGAACGAGACGGGGGATCCCCTGGCTGGAGCTGATGGACAGAGTAGACAGTCATGGCTGGAGAATTGGATATCAGACTAATGTCTGACCTCTGGAAACAGTAAGTCAAAATGAAATTACAATTCCTTTAATAAGCTTTTGGATTGAAGTTAGACCTTCATAAAATTACGACACCTACTTGGATGTCTCTGGTGCAAAAGCTAGGATCTCTTCCCTACCAAGTTGCCCCAATCTCCATTTCTTCTTCCGTCTTATTACTTTCTGGCTTCTGGCCATTAGAAGTTTAAACCCCTTCTCTCTCCTGAGAGTCTTAGTTCTCCTTACCTTGTTACCTCAAGACTTCTGATGAAGTCTCCTTCTCCAGGAGGAGCTGCCCACATCTCCTATTCTGTGGTTTTCTCACCAAGGCCAAATTTAGCCTCAGATGATTAGTCACTGATACCCTTCTACCCTGCCCCCACTTAGCAGTGCCCTTCACATTGGACTTCCAAGGGTGGGCGCTACTCCTTGTTGTAAATGACTTCTCCCCACAACTCTGGTCCCATCATTCTGTTCTCCCTTCTGCATGACTGTCTCTCAGTCATATCCTTACCCCAGGAGAGGGTAGTTTGGCAAAGGGAGTTAGCCCCTCTCCAAGCCCCGTCCTCATCAAGACTGAAAACTTCTAAACTTGCAAAGTGAAGATTAATGGAAGGAGTGGTTCTGCAGTCGGGTTTGGAAAACTATGAGAACTGTTGACTCACAACAAACAAATATTGATCTGCATGCTTGGTTTGCATCCCATTATTCCACGAGAGAGAGGGATTGTAACTGCAGCTCTCTAGAGTAAATAAAAGAGACTGGTTCCCTTTTCATTTGAATATTGATGTTCTAGAGAGGGGGTGGGTCTACCACCCTAACTCCTTCTTGCTTAAAATTCTGACACAAAGGAGGAAAAGAAATGAATGACCCCTAGAGGTCTCCCCTCCTAATGAAGAGGGGCAAATAAGAGGTATGTTTCTGAAGTATTTTCAGATCCTAATTCTACTGAGGAGCCCACTGGCATGATTGGTATCTGACCTATCCACATGATTCCTCTTTTTTTTTTTTCTTTTGCCATTTCTGCTGTGTGGTAGCTCAGAATGGGGCAATACACTGGACTCTGCCTCTCTGCCTCCCTGAGTCCACTCAACCTTTCTTCCGCCCCCACCTAGGGGTATTGCATAAGGGATCTGAAAGTGGCCACAAGAGCAGGGCACAAAGGCTTAACAGGCACTTCCAGTTTGGACAGCCCCATTCTCCCCGAACTTCAGTCTACTCATCTTTTTCTTGATCTCCCCAGATTCTCTTCACATCATTCTGAACAGTCTTCAACTCTTCTCTTTCCCCATGCCCAGCCAAATTTCTTTTTTCAGTCCCTTACAGGACGTCCGGTCAAAATTCACTAGGTAGGAGGGTCATCAGCTGGAAAGAACCGGAGCCTGGGGGGACCTGGCTGGCTAGGTATGGGGGACCCAGGCCAGTCCCCTAGTGCCTGGTCCCCCCATGGCAGTCCCCCAACTCTAAGCACTCTCACTCTCCTGCTGCTCCTCTGTGGACATGGTAAGGAAGGGTTAGGGAAGGGTTTGGGGAATCTAGAGGGTAGACTGTCATGTAGGGGTGGCATGCGAGCATGTGTGAGTGAGAAGAGGTGGGTGCGGAGGAGCCCCTGTCACTTGCCCCACTCTAAGATGGGTGTATTTTATGTCCCACCCAGCTTGGGAAGGGCGCTGGGAAGCCCCCGGTCAACAAGCAGGAGAGATGTAGCAGGGCTTGCACGTTTTTAGCAAGACCGAACGCGAACAGGGCTCGGAGGCTGGGGGCTGGGGGCCGGGGAGGGCTCTCAGCTGGGTTTTAGGAACGGCTGCATTCCCTGATGGGATCTGGGAGAGTCATGATAGAGCAGGGACCTGGGGACCATCTCACAATCCTCTCCCTTCCGTCCTCAGCTCATTCTCAGTGCAAGATCCTCCGCTGCAATGCTGAGTATGTATCGTCCACTCTGAGCCTTAGAGGTGGGGGTTCGCCTGGAGCCTTCCGAGGAGGAGGAGGAGGAGGCCGGGGTGGAGGGGTGGGCTCCAGCGGCCTCTGTCGAGCCCTCCGCTCCTACGCACTCTGCACTCGGCGCACGGCCCGCACCTGCCGCGGGGACCTTGCCTTCCACTCTGCGGTGCACGGCATCGAAGACCTGATGATCCAGCACAACTGCTCCCGCCAGGGCCCCACCGCCCCTCCCCCACCCCGAGGCCCCGCCCTGCCGGGCGCCGGCCCGGTCAGGTCCTCTGGCCCTCCAGCCCCGGACCCCTGTGACTATGAAGGCCGGTTTTCCCGGCTGCACGGTCGGCCCCCAGGCTTCCTGCACTGCGCCTCCTTCGGCGACCCCCACGTGCGCAGCTTCCACCACCACTTTCACACGTGTCGTGTCCAAGGAGCCTGGCCCTTGCTGGATAATGACTTCCTTTTTGTCCAGGCCACCAGCTCCCCCGTGGCATCGGGGGCCAACGCCACCACCACCCGGAAGGTCAGGGACTCAGCTGCTCCTCCAGACCCTCTCATGGTCACCCCCGGGTACCTCTCCCATGCCATTCCCACTGTTTCATAGCAATGCTCCCTATTCCCTTTCCTCCTCCACTACTTCCACATCTTGAATCACTCCCTCCCACCGAACACTTGCTCCAGTAAATCACTTCCCCTCGGTGGGAATTTTGCTCCAAAGCAGAAAACACTGAAGAGGAAGTTGGGGAGAGGGAAGCTGAGCTCTGGGTTGAGGAGTTACGGAAGGGAAGCTTCTTCTCCTGTGGGAGTCTCTGAAATTGAGACCAAAAAGGAGAGAGGGGTGGAGCAGGGTTGAGGCAATACTGGAACATAAAGAAGGGATCGAGTTGTGAGGACCATGACAAGCCTTGCTTCTCTGCTGGGATCAGATCCCTGAATAGGTAATGAGGCCTGATAAGTGGAGGGGGATGCACAGCGCCCCAAATAAGCTGTTTTCCCTCTTGCCCTCACAGCTCACCATTATATTTAAGAACATGCAGGAATGCATCGATCAGAAGGTCTACCAGGCTGAGGTGGACAATCTTCCTGCAGCCTTTGAAGATGGATCTATCAACGGAGGTGACAGACCTGGGGGCTCAAGTTTATCCATTCGAACCGCTAACCCTGGGAGCCATGTGGAGATCCAAGCTGCCTATATTGGCACAACTATAATCATTCGGCAGACAGCTAAGCAGCTCTCCTTCTCCATCAAAGTAGCTGAGGATGTGGCCAGGGCCTTCTCAGCTGAGCAGGACCTGCAGCTCTGTGTTGGGGGATGCCCTCCAAGCCAGCGACTTTCTCGTTCAGAGCGCAGTCGTCGGGGAGCTATCACCATTGATACCGCCAGACAGCTGTGCAAGGAAGGGCTACCAGTTGAAGACGTTTACTTCCATTCCTGTGTCTTTGATGTTTTAATCTCTGGTGATCCCAACTTTACTGTGGCAGCTCAGGCAGCTCTGGAGGACGCCCGAGCCTTCCTGCCAGACTTGGAAAAATTGCATCTCTTCCCCTCAGATGCGGGGGTTCCTCTTTTCTCAGCAACCCTCCTAGCCCCACTCCTTTCTGGGCTCTTTGTTCTGTGGCTTTGCACTCAGTAACGAGGCTAGCAATCCTGTGACTGGCTTAGAAATGATTTGGGGATAGAGATTGACAAGGAAGAACATAAAGAATCACTGAAGGAAACAGTGGGGGACTAGAAGACACATGAAACAATGACATTTATCTGGAGTAAGGTAAGGCTGCAGTCCAGGCTTGAAATGATCACAGAATAAGGATTCTGGGCAAGGTTTCTGCATTCCAGACCTCTGTAGGGGTTCTTTACCAATTTTCCCAGTCTTGTTTATAATAAGCAAATTGTTCCAGTCCATCCACTCCTGAGATCACCCCTACAAGCTTAGAGGTTATAAGGGTCCTGATGATCAGTAGAAAAATTAAGGGTTGAGACTTTCAACAGGGAAGAACTGAAAGAGAAAGACATGATCATAACCCATCAGAAACTCAAAATCTAGTATTTTCTCTTGGAAGATGGAAAGAAGAGGAAATGACAGGGGCAAGAGTCTGTTTGATAAGCGTATGTGGGTAAGATGTGTTCTGCTTTCTTGGTTCACAAGTGAAGCAGGGGTTGTCCGGACCTTTGGGGAAGGGACTCTCTGTCTTTGGAGAGTGCCACAGACAGGAAGGAAGCTATCATCCCCAGCCCTAACTAATCTGTTATTAAAGCTATACATTCTCCACATCCTCCTCTGTTGCCTGCGTTGAATCTCTTTACAGACGCTTGAAATGGAATAAAGGCAAGGTGTTCACGCCACTGAAACAGAGCTCAGAAGTATCAGACATTGCTTCTGCACTCGGGAAGTTTACAGGCTATTAGGGAGACAAAAACGGTTTCATATGAAGGAGTGATGAGTGTGTAACTATTCACTAAATTCTATGGCACTATGAACTCAAATGGGAAGATGATTGACGCGAACTCAAGAAATAATTGGTAATAAGAGGTAATAGAGGAGATGGGATTTGAAGTGATCTTTGAAGACTGGGTAGGAATTGAATTAAGGACCTTCCAGGCAATGGAAGCCATGTGGAACTATGCCTAGATTCATGATTCAGTGAGGAAAACAGCAAAACTCAAATGAAGTAGACAAGAAATAATGAGACAGACGGGTAGACAGGCAGAGGCCAGATTATAAAGTGCCTTGAAAGAGGGGCCAAGGAGTTTAAATTCAATTAATAGCTAACATTATCAAGAGCTTATAACCTGCCAGCCCATGTTCTAAACACTTTTAAATTATTAATTCACTTAATCCTCATAACTCTTTAAAGAAGGTCATATTATCTCTATTTTTAGATAAGGAAACTGAGGTACAGGATGATTGAGCCACTTGCCCACAGTCACACAGCTAATAAACGGGAGAGCCAGAAACTGAACCCAGGCGGTGGGGCTCCAGGGCCTGGGCCCTTACCCACTGCACTGTACTGTCCGGGGAGCAGCCACTGAAGATTTTGGTTGCGGAGCCGCGCAGGGAAGGGGAGTTGCATGCAGTGGCCGCCACCACAAAAGCTACTTTCTTCTTCTGTCACATGGAACCCAAAAGACAGAGCTGAGGAAAGAGGGGGAAAGGCCCCAAATTAAAGGGATCTAGCTGGTCGAAGAGAAGACTGAAAACAGAAGCTGTTCTAGCCCAGGATGTTCTAAGGTAATAGTGCTGCTCGGAACTAAACTATGAAGAGGGTAACGTTAACATTCAGCATCTTCCCCGTTTCTGGTGTCAGGCACTCCATTCCCTGGGGCCTGCCCCCACCCTCCGATACATTTGTGCATTTACCCTATCTCCCCCCTCTCCTCTCAGTCTCACCCACCTGACTATACTCCTCCAGAATACAGACAGGCACCGGCCAGGGCTTACCAGACAGGATGTCCTGTCTGGTCAGCTATTTCAAATTTCTTTGCAATTCTTTATCCCCTATTCCTGCCTCTCCACTTTCTCCAAGGACCCCAGCCACTCTGCCATTCCCTCAAAGCACAGTCTCTGTACTTACAAAAATGACCTTTAGCTAATCTAGAAAACAAGCTGTTCTAATGGAAGAAAATGGGAGGAAGCATACCCATTGCTGTCTTCACTTACAGATAACTTAGGCATTTCAATTCAAAACATCTTTTTTAGAAACTGCTCCTTATATGGGTTCTCTCAGCTCAAAAGAGCATGTACCTTTATGCCTCAGGTGGGAATTTCAAGTAAGTTAAGAAGAATTTCATAGCCAGTTGGTGAGTAGATTCTTTTATGGCACCTGTCATGTAACACTGCTTCCTTTGCCCTAACTTAGGATTAACCCTATTACTAATGGACTATTTAAAAATGGGTAACTCAAAATAAACATACGAAAAGATGCCCAACATAATTATTCATTATGGAAATGCAAGTCAAATTAAAACCACAATGAGAAAACACAACACACCCACAAGGATAGCTAAAATTAAAAAGACTGACAAAAAAAAAAAGATTGACCATATTAAGTAAGTGTTGGCAAATTGTGAAGCTTTCACATGCTACTGGTGGGAATGCAAAATAGTGCAACTGCTTTGTAAAATGGTTTGGCAGTTTCTTTAAAAGTTAAGTATACCCTTAGCATACAATCGAAACAGTCTACCTCTAAGTACTGAGCCAAGAGAAATGATAATGTGTCTGCACCAAGACTTGCATACAAATGTTCATAACAGTTTTGTCCATAATAACCCAAAATTGAAAACTGGAAACAACCCAAATGTCCATCAACACGTGAATGGATACACGAATTGTGGCAAATTCATACAACAGAATAGGCAGAACAAGAGGATGACAGGGCAAAGGGAGAGGACATTTAACTATTTTAAACCCTCTCTTCTACCCTTAACACAAGGACCATATTCCTTCCTCCAGCTTGTCATTCGCAAGGTCAGAGACCATAGAAAGGACATTTTCTGGTTTAAAAACACCAACTCTGTGTCTCGTAGTTTTGTCTTTCCACTCCACCAATAGTCAGCAAGGTGGCGATGGTGACCAAAAAGAATTACTCAGTGGAGGTGGGGCAAGTCTCCAGAAAAAAAAATTAATTTCTTTGATTATCTGATATGTTGACCATTTGAGAGAAAACATTAGTAAGAACTTAACAGAACTGTCATTTCAGAAATAAGCTGAAGACAGGTGCATAATAAATTGCTTAAACAATTATAATTTCACAACAAAGGGTTGTTTGAGCATGAAACAATCAAAATACACTGCTTGGCTCCACAATTGATGTTATTTACACAGTAATAATCATGTCAGCACTGACTACTGACATGGCCAAAATTGTGATGATAACGCTATTGGGAGGATAAGGTAAGAGGGAAGGGAAGGTAGGGATACATGTGATATAAGATGCTTAATATCCAATTTACTGTCTAATATTTCTACATTAAGAAATAAAAGGAGAAATATATAATTTACAAATATGAAGTAAACATCAGATGAGAAAGCTGAAATAATTGGAAGAGATTATCTCAGTAGAGGGAACTGATGACTGCTGTTTTTGTGTGTGTAAGCTTTAAATATTGTGTGATTTTAACTATATTTTGTTACATTATTTTGATTTTAAAAAGAGATGACATTTCCACTTTGGCCAGTCTTAAGCCTTTCCCCTTAACTTCTTATACTTATGGCCACCTTAACCATTTCCCAGATCCACCCAACCTCCTCCCTATCCACTTCACCCCACCGGGTGTTCTTCATGGAAGGTTCCTTCCCACATTTCTTCTCAAGGGAGCAGAGATAATTTCCACAGTCCAGTAATTACAGTTCTCAAAATCAGTGCCAAGAAGCTGCACCAACACTAAGGAAGGGAAAGAACATTAGAAAATAAAATTGAAATTCTCCAATTTTTCTGCCTACTCCCAAACCAAATTACTCATCATCCTCCTAACAGTTAATAGGAAGAAATAAGTTACATAGGTTTCCTGAGATAAAAATCTGTGTGTGAATGGAGGGTGGGCTTTGAGAAAGTGAAAGAGAAGTCAGGAAAGATAACAGGGTTCTGCCTCCACTGCAGGGCTATTTTGGAATCATTGTTTGCTACTGATTCAAAGAATTTATATATATATATATATATATACACACACAGATTATATATATACACACACATATTTTTAATTTAAGTACAGTGAGTTTACAATGTGTCAGTATCTGGTGTATAGCATAATGTTTCAGTCATACATACACAT